GGGGGGGGGGGGGGGGGGGTGGGGGGGGGGGGGGGGGGGGGGGGGGGGGGGGGGGGGGGGGGGGGGGGGGGGGGGGGGGGGGGGGGGGGGGGGGGGGGGGGGGGGGGGGGGGGGGGGGGGGGGGGGGGGGGGGGGGGGGGGGGGGGGGGGGGGGGGGGGGGGGGGGGGGGGGGGGGGGGGGGGGGGGGGGGGGGGGGGGGGGGGGGGGGGGGGGGGGGTGGGGGGGGGGGGGGGGGGGGGGGGGGGGGGGGGGGGGGGGGGGGGGGGGGGGGGGGGGGGGGGGGGGGGGGGGGGGGGGGGGGGGGGGGGGGGGGGGGGGGGGGGGGGGGGGGGGGGGGGGGGGGGGGGGGGGGGGGGGGGGGGGGGGGGGGGGGGGGGGGGGGGGGGGGGGGGGGGGGGGGGGGGGGGGGGGGGGGGGGGGGGGGGGGGGGGGGGGGGGGGGGGGGGGGGGGTGGGGGGGGGGGGGGGGGGGGGGGGGGGGGGGGGGGGGGGGGGGGGGGGGGGGGGGGGTGGGGGGGGGGGGGGGGGGGTGGGGGGGGGGGGGGGGGGGGGGGGGGGGGGGGGGGGGGGGGGGGGGGGGGGGGGGGGGGGGGGGGGGGGGGGGGGGGGGGGGTGGGGGGGGGGGGGGGGGGGTGGGGGGGGGGGGGGGGGGGGGGGGGGGGGGGGGGGGGGGGGGGGGGGGGGGGTGGGGGGGGGGGGGGGGGGGGGGGGGGGGGGGGGGGGGGGGGGGGTGGGGGGGGGGGGGGGGGGGGGGGGGGGGGGGGGGGGGGGGGGGGGGGGGGGGGGGGGGGGGGGGGGGGGGGGGGGGGGGGGGGGGGGGGGGGGGGGGGGGGGGGGGGGGGGGGGGGGGGGGGGGGGGGGGGGGGGGGGGGGGGGGGGGGGGGGGGGGGGGGGGGGGGGTGGGGGGGGGGGGGGGGGGGGGGGGGGGGGGGGGGGGGGGGGGGGGGGGGGGGGGGGGGGGGGGGGGGGGTGGGGGGGGGGGGGGGGGGGGGGGGGGGGGGGGGGGGGGGGGGGGGGGGGGGGGGGGGGGGGGGGGGGGGGGGGGGGGGGGGGGGGGGGGGGGGGGGGGGGGGGTGGGGGGGGGGGGGGGGGGGGGGGGGGGGGGGGGGGGGGGGGGGGGGGGGGGGGGGGGGGGGGGGGGGGGGGGGGGGGGGGGGGGGGGGGGGGGGGGGGGGGGGGGGGGGGGGGGGGGGGGGGGGGGGGGGGGGGGGGGGGGGGGGGGGGGGGGGGGGGGGGGGGGGGGGGGGGGGGGGGGGGGGGGGGGGGGGGGGGGGGGGGGGGGGGGGGGGGGGGGGGGGGGGGGGGGGGGGGGGGGGGGGGGGGGGGGGGGGGGGGGGGGGGGGGGGGGGGGGGGGGGGGGGGGGGGGGGGGGGGGGGGGGGGGGGGGGGGGGGGGGGGGGGGGGGGGGGGGGGGGGGGGGGGGGGGGGGGGGGGGGGGGGGGGGGGGGGGGGGGGGGGGGGGGGGGGGGGGGGGGGGGGGGGGGGGGGGGGGGGGGGGGGGGGGGGGGGGGGGGGGGGGGGGGGGGGGGGGGGGGGGGGGGGGGGGGGGGGGGGGGGGGGGGGGGGGGGGGGGGGGGGGGGGGGGGGGGGGGGGGGGGGGGGGGGGGGGGGGGGGGGGGGGGGGGGGGGGGGGGGGGGGGGGGGGGGGGGGGGGGGGGGGGGGGGGGGGGGGGGGGGGGGGGGGGGGGGGGGGGGGGGGGGGGGGGGGGGGGGGGGGGGGGGGGGGGGGGGGGGGGGGGGGGGGGGGGGGGGGGGGGGGGGGGGGGGGGGGGGGGGGGGGGGGGGGGGGGGGGGGGGGGGGGGGGGGGGGGGGGGGGGGGGGGGGGGGGGGGGGGGGGGGGGGGGGGGGGGGGGGGGGGGGGGGGGGGGGGGGGGGGGGGGGGGGGGGGGGGGGGGGGGGGGGGGGGGGGGGGGGGGGGGGGGGGGGGGGGGGGGGGGGGGGGGGGGGGGGGGGGGGGGGGGGGGGGGGGGGGGGGGGGGGGGGGGGGGGGGGGGGGGGGGGGGGGGGGGGGGGGGGGGGGGGGGGGGGGGGGGGGGGGGGGGGGGGGGGGGGGGGGGGGGGGGGGGGGGGGGGGGGGGGGGGGGGGGGGGGGGGGGGGGGGGGGGGGGGGGGGGGGGGGGGGGGGGGGGGGGGGGGGGGGGGGGGGGGGGGGGGGGGGGGGGGGGGGGGGGGGGGGGGGGGGGGGGGGGGGGGGGGGGGGGGGGGGGGGGGGGGGGGGGGGGGGGGGGGGGGGGGGGGGGGGGGGGGGGGGGGGGGGGGGGGGGGGGGGGGGGGGGGGGGGGGGGGGGGGGGGGGGGGGGGGGGGGGGGGGGGGGGGGGGGGGGGGGGGGGGGGGGGGGGGGGGGGGGGGGGGGGGGGGGGGGGGGGGGGGGGGGGGGGGGGGGGGGGGGGGGGGGGGGGGGGGGGGGGGGGGGGGGGGGGGGGGGGGGGGGGGGGGGGGGGGGGGGGGGGGGGGGGGGGGGGGGGGGGGGGGGGGGGGGGGGGGGGGGGGGGGGGGGGGGGGGGGGGGGGGGGGGGGGGGGGGGGGGGGGGGGGGGGGGGGGGGGGGGGGGGGGGGGGGGGGGGGGGGGGGGGGGGGGGGGGGGGGGGGGGGGGGGGGGGGGGGGGGGGGGGGGGGGGGGGGGGGGGGGGGGGGGGGGGGGGGGGGGGGGGGGGGGGGGGGGGGGGGGGGGGGGGGGGGGGGGGGGGGGGGGGGGGGGGGGGGGGGGGGGGGGGGGGGGGGGGGGGGGGGGGGGGGGGGGGGGGGGGGGGGGGGGGGGGGGGGGGGGGGGGGGGGGGGGGGGGGGGGGGGGGGGGGGGGGGGGGGGGGGGGGGGGGGGGGGGGGGACTTATTTGAAGTAGACAAAACTTGTTGAATTATAGAAGGAGATGGATGTCCTAGTCTATCATGCTAAAGTGGATGTTGAACACGACTGCCCAGATTTGCAGTTATTGAGGAAGACTGTGGTAAAGCTTGGATGGGATATAAGCCATTAGTACTCTTTCCTTTGTATAGAAGAGTGCCCGTGGCCTTGTCCTGAATAAAGAATTCATGTTCATCAAGGTGATTTGACAATTGTTACAGTTTATGGACAAAAATTAAGTTGGTTGAAAGTGAAGGTACATGAAGTACATGACTTAAATTGAAAGTGTGTGAAGATGTGGGAAGAGTAGATTGACCTGTGTGAGAGATAGGTAACCCCTGGCCATTACCAATTGTGAACAAATCCTCGCCAACATAATCTGTAGGAAATGATAAATTGTCAAAGTCTGAAGTAAGATGATTTGTTGCTCCAGAATCTGTGAGCCAGACATTTGGATTTGAGCTAGAAGAATTAGAAAAAGTTGCCATAGAAGTAAGATTTGGAGATGGACGACTGCCATGATAACCAAAGTTTATGCGATGATAGCAGTCAGAAACCACATGACCTACTTTATTGCAAATCTGATAGATAGGTCTAGACTGATTTCTGGAGGAGTTTGACTAAGTATAACTGCCTGTGTTATGTTTGTCAAAATTGCCAGTTGAACCATTGAATTGAGAATCAAAACCATAGTTTTGATTGTTTGATCTGCAGCGACCACCACCACGATTATTAGATCAACGATGTCTTGGATTATTCGAATGTCTGCCTCTATTTGATGAGAAGTTTTTATTTAATGAGAAATTGTTATTTTTCTCTTGTGTAGCTGCCATAGCCAAGGGAGTCAGTGTGGTTTGATGCATAGCTTCAATAGAATGTTCTTCTGCTCTTAGGAGAACATGAAGATCTTCAAGAGAAAGAGGTTGTTCACGTGTTGTGATAGAAGTACAAAAGGCATTATATTCAATAAAAAATCCATTAAGAGTGTAGATTAACATGTCTTCATCTTCAATAAGCACAGAGGTAGTTGCAAATTTGTCACGAAACTCTTTGAGCTTTTGCACATAAAGGTATATAGAATCTGAGCCTTTTTTTACTGTTTGCAGACTTGATTTGAGTTGAAGAATATTGGCTCTAGTAAGAGAAGAAAATATTCTTTCTAGTGCAATCCAAATATCATGAGAGGTTGTGTAGCCAATCACATGTGCAAGAGCAGCAGGTGAAAGCATTGCATTGAGCAATGTGATGAGGATCTGATCTTGAGTCAACCACACTTGATTCAGAGGTTTTCGATCTGTAGTTACAACACCTTAAGCATTGCGAAGAAATTGTTCTGGACAGGGAATTGATCCATCCACATAACCTATGAGAGAATGTACTCTCAGAATTGCAGACACCTGATATTTCCATAACACAAATTTGTGGAATCCATATGGATCAAAATCAGATTGCAAATGTTTGATAGAAGGAAAACTGGAGACTGTGACATTGAAGCAATCAACGAACCTGTTGAGCTAGGACTCGAAGAAGTCTGAGGAGTCGTAGAAGAAGAATCAGCCATTGAGATGTTAATCTCTTGTTAATGGTCTAATACCATGACAGAATCATGGAATAGTAAGGAAGTCTCGTATAGAGAGAAGACAGAAAACAGAATTAAGAAGAAACACATTTTGAGTTTTTTTCCATTCCTTCACTTTTTAAAGATTACTAGCGTATATATAGGACAAGCTATACCTCATCATACAGCAGTGTAGCTGAGTTGTAGCTCAGCATTTCTTACTCTTAACGGACTTAACAACCTAACAAAATTACTAACCAACTTCTATAATCTAGCTATGTGTTATGACATAGATCACAATTATTCGACTTTACACTTCGATTTTTGGCCAATTGGAGCCGTTGAAAAATGGCTTCTCTAGTTCGGATATGCACTTCATAATCCAACTTATGGGCCAAGAAACAGCAGAAAGTGCAATACTTGTGCCCCACTGCCCCCAATCAAGCCTTGCTGTGTCTGCAAACCTATTCAAAACTTCCACCATCAGCACTTGAAGAATAAGGATTATCCCAATGATCCCCCAAAACAGTTTTCTCTTTCTTATATCCTGAAATACATTCTTCTCAGCATTGAATATGGTGAATATTTGACAGAGAACCTAAGTATTGAGGATCATTGTGCCTTTTGCATTCGGATTGACATTGAAGATTGATTTTCCCTTGAAATGTATGGTCAGGAGGATGGCTATCTGATATAAAGCTTGAACCATTATGTTCCCCAGCATGATGTTGGTCATTAGAGGTGCATTCCTTCCCCGAGGTGGTCGGTTCACAAGCTCTTCAGCAGGCTGCTTAATAGTCACAGCTAGAGCAACCAATGTATCCATTATCAGCTTCACCCACATAAGTTGAAGAGTTGGATATGGGACTTTACCAACTGATAGCAATGCCATTGCATCAATATTCGAGGGTTCACCGGTTGAAATAGCCATCACAAAGTCGGTCACCAGAGCAACAAAACTAGCAATGAGTAGGAGCTGAATGTATATCTGCACACTTTCAAAAATCCCTCTTCCCCACCTCAAAATGTTGATTACAGATGCCAGATCTTCATGCTGGATGACAATATCCGAGCAGGCCTTGGCTATATCAGCCCCTTGAGTACCAAGACATAGTCCTACATCGGCCTCCCTCAATGCCTGCACATCTCTGATGCCACACCCAACAACTGCAACAACATGGCCCTTCTGTTTCAAGCATTGCACTATAAGCAATTTATCTTGGGGGCTGGCTCTGGCCATCACAGAGATGTTGAGAACTTTTTTCATTCTCTCCTCTTGAGTGTAGTTCTGAAATTCCACACCTTCTGCTACTTCTCCAGGCTTTTCATTTGCCCCAACTATACCACATTTCGTGGCTATAGCTCTGGCAGTTTGAATGTTGTTTTCTGTGATGATCCTGATGTTCACTCCAGCACGTCGGCAATCTTTCACAACATCTTCAACTCCATATCTAAGCGAGTTTTTTAGACCAACAAAGCTTAATAAGATCAGTTGTTGATCAGGACAACTATTTGGTGTTGGTGTTTCTCTATGTGCAAAAGCAATGCACCTGAGGCCAATCTTTGACATGTCTTCAAGTATTTGATCCAGCAACACCCTTTCATTTTGATTAATGACTTTGACAGTTCCTGTGGTTTCATAATAGTGAGAGCACAATGGTATTATCATCTTAGGATCTCCTTTCCGGTGCACGTGAATCACGTTATAGCCATTCTTGCAGATAAAAACCCTGTTTTGTCTATTCTCTGAGTTGAAGGGTTCAATATCAAGAATGGTATAACTTCTTCTCAATGAATCTATGTTCATTCCCGTTTGCCGAATGGCCCAATCGAAGATTGCTTTTTCAGTGGGATTCTGGGGAGATTGGAAGAAAGACCTTGAATGGGGCTGAGTTGCATTTAGACCAATTCCTCGGTGAAGCAATTCAATAACATTTGGTGCAATCAAATTGGCAAGAGGTTGTTCAATGTAGCTGAAACCCAGCCATAACTTATCTACCTGTTTCACAATGATATACATATGGGGATATTAATAGAAGTGCTACTCTAATCTCACTTTAGTTTAGTCCTTTATTCTAATCCCACACAAATAAATAAAATTCATATACATATAATAACATTCAAAAACATAATCATCAAATAAATAACAGTACTCCGGCAAAATCATAGAGCAAAGAGCACCTCCCTCTCTCTCTCTCTCTCTCTCTCTCAACCCAAATATACCCACTTTCTCAATTCTCGCGGTGGAGCCCCCGAGTCAACTGGCCATTCTTCCATTCAAAAACAAGGTCTTATTGCCCGGCAAGAAGGTCACTAAAGCACGGCTTTAGGCCCCAACCAACAAAAAAATTTAGTTAAATAATTTGGGTCCACAAGTCTAGCCCAATGACACACAAAATTAAATTTGACAAAAAAATAAAAAGGTTGAAAAGGAACAAAAAATATTGTTCTTTAGACATCACTAGTCACTCTCTCTCTCTCTCTCACACATGTCATTTACCTATATATTTTTTCTTATGTAAAATTAAAACACAAATTAAACTATTTATTTTCACCATCTCTCCCTTTTAATCCTACTTTCTATTTTTTTTAATCTATTACGAATACAGTACTTTTTAAAAGTCCTTATGTAAAATTAAAACATAAATTAAACTATTTATTTTCATCATCTCTCCCTTTTAATCCTACTTTCTATTTTTTTTATTTATTACAAGTACAGTACTTTTTAAAATAACTAAAGACATAAAACATTAATCTACTCGACAATAAGTAACTCGCAAAGACTATGATCATTCCAAGATGTTTAAACACTTTGATCTTTTGAATGGGAGGAGGCACAGTAGGCCTAACTTTAAGAGCGTACAGACCCTAATTAATTTTTAGTTCTTAGTTTAACTTCATATTCTGAGTTCATTTTGAATGGATCAAGTTGAAAGTCAAATGTATTTCACAATTCTAAGTAAAATCTTATAAAAAATCCTAAAATATAACAATATTTTTATATGTTTATGTAAAGTTTTATAGAAAGTTCTAAAATGTAACAAAACTTTCTAAAAAATATAAAAGTAATGACTTATAGCGTTATAATTAACATTGTTTCTCAAATTCCTTTCTCACTATTTTTCCTCCACTCTCACCACCTCTCTCCAAATCTTTATCTCCCTCTATTCTAATTGTATTTCTCTCTCTTTGTCCTTATCTCTAACTATTTTGTTCTCTCTTTAAGACTCTAATTAATTTATTCATATATAAGATCCCGACTTCCTAATTGCACTCAATTGATTGTCCGATCCTAAAACCACTAAAACATTAAAACTAAACTACACCGAAATTCTCTATAAAAATAATCATGAAAATTTTTATTATCTTTCTGAAATATTGATCAGGTTTCATGTGAAATTCTTATTTTAGGTCCCAATTTATATATGGCCGCCATTTTTGTCCGGGGTAATCATCGAATTTGCTGCCCCTCATCAAGCTAGGCCTTGGCAATGGGCCAGGCTAGCCATTCCCAGGAATTTTCAAACCACAGCCTGCCCATTGGCTGGCCTTTGGGCTTTGACTAGTCAACAAGTTGGGCCAAGCCCGCCCATGAAAAGATCTAAGGCCCATGTCCTGCCCATGGGTGGGCCAATTGGGCCAAAAGGCGTGCTAAAAATGGGTCACACTTTTTTGGGCCATTATTTGGGCTTTTTTTAAAAAATATATTTTTTAATTCTAAACATAAATTCATAAAATTGGATATGAAAAAATAAATTAACAAAAAAACTATTCATATTCATCAAGAGTTAAAATGTTACCTTGATTGATAGTTGAGATTATTTTACATCACTAAAAATTCAGTACATTCCAACTAAGTTGACATCTCTCAAACATTTAAAAGTTATAGATCAAATATCAAATCAACAAAATAAATATGAAATATAATTTAATTGGTTGGTCTAACGGATCAGCCAATCAAGCTTCTTAACGAGCTAGCCCATTAGGTCCTCGGCAAAAAAATAAGAGGCTTAGAGAGGTCGATACCTCTCAAAAAATTTAATAAGATAAAAATACACTTTTTAAAATAATTGGGATAGAAGTACATATACTAATAAAAAGTCATAAAAGCCCTTTTACCCCTACCATAAATAGGGCATACCTAATTAAAAGTGAGACTTTCAAGATTTAAATGTTAAACTTTTACGATTCCTTTTGATATTTGTGTATTATTTGAATTTTGAAATTATATATATATATACACACACAAGAGTAATATATATGAAACAGTAACATGCTCAACAAAAAAATAATAACATCAAATAGTGACATGCTCAACAAAAAAAGAGTAACATCAAACAGTAACACACTCAACAAAATTTGTACTTATTGACAGCTATTTGATGAAAAAGAGAACTTAAAGAAGGATAAGTTTAGAAGTGATACTTAAAACCAAATAAATTTTGAAAAAGATACTCAATTTCTATTAACTCATAAAATAAAACATAAGCCCTACCTGCCGGACTAGCTGGCTATCTGCGGCTTGTCATACGCACGGGCCAGGTGGCCTGTTAGCCCGTTGGGCTGCCAGACTTTGGATGGCCCATTGGGTTTTGGACTTTTCGCTGAGCCAACACCTAGCAGGTGTTTTTCTTTGTACTTTCCCACAGTTTGGGTGCTCTAATAAATTTCTCAGTTTTTAGGGAAAACATAATTTTTCTGCCATAAGGCACGCTGTTTGCAAAACATTTTTGATTCCAGAGCTGCTCCAAAAAAAAAATGGGCTAATTTCAATTTAGATCCGGAAAGATCACTCAAATCTCAATTTATACCTTCAAAGTTTAAAAATATCAATTTACACTCTAAAAAATATAAATTTGTATCAATGTGCATCTGGAGTTAACTCTGTTCATTTTTTCGTTAAAAAAGTTTGGGTTAATTATAAATTATACCCACCAAATTTAAATATTTCATATTTATGATCCAAAAAGAATTTCTTCTATTAATGCTCGTTAAATAATTCTCAATTGTATCGTATCATAACATTTTTATATCGTGTTCAAGTCAATAAAAATTATTTTTCAAAATTTATAAAATACTTATGACGGGACTTTAGGCGGCTCGACAAAAGTAAATGGACATGTAGGAAGTTACAGACACAATGCAAAAGGCGCCTAGGAAAAGCGCCAAAAAAAAGTTGTGACCATGAGAAGAGGGTGCACCTAGGGCGTAACATTAAAAGGGATGTGACAGCTCATTAATGACTCTTGCGTGTCTATAGCAAAGCCATTAATGAGTGTCTAAATCTTCGAAAGATGTGAAGATAGTCTTCATTACAAGGCATTAATGATCATTATGCCGATTTGAAGTCTTTGGTAAACCCAAGGGTGCTTGTTCCTGAGTAGTAAATACTCAAGCATAGGTGTCAAGCACCGAGTGGGGGTATTTAATGACCGAAGGATGGGCCGAAATGCTCAATTATTTCCAAGCAAAAGTTCACATGCCTAAGGAGACTAGTCATTAGATATTTGATGGAATGTCGCTCATGATGCTAGGATATGAGTGCAGACCATTAAATCCTGAAATGTGACTTAAGGGCATTGTCATCATTGCAAACCTATGTATAAATACCCTTAAAGAAGTTAGACCAAATAATGCAATTCGAATAAAAAAGTACATTGTGCTAATTATTTTTATGCCAATTGACTTGAGCTACTGACTTGAATTTCGGAGGGGATCACCCAAGTACACACCTCGCCTGTTTTTTCTAATCCTTTGTTTCAGGTTCAATGTCATTCAGGACCGTTCTGTGTATTGTTATCTCAACTAATTGCAGCAAATCACACATGTAACTTATTTTTTGTCGACAATATTCATTAAAATAACTATTTTTTATCTACAATTAGACACATCTTTTAATTGTCCGATCAAATTAAAGTTACATACAAATAACACAATTATAGACAAAAAATAGTTATTTAGCAAGTATTATAGACAAAAATTTGGTATTTTTTAATTTTTAAAAAATATTAAATAGTATTATATGAATTGTCATAAATGTGAAATATAAGATATAATACAGTTGACTCAACGCGAAAATTTTTTTTGTTAAAATTATTTTGTTATTAACTCGAACACGACACGAAAAATATTATAATACAATTGAGAGCTATTTTAACGAGCATTGATGGATGAAATTTTTTTTAGATCATAAATATGAAATATTTAAATTTTAAGAGGTGCAATTTATAATTAATTCAAACTTTTTTGATGTCAAAATAAATGGCAGTTAGTCTCAAGTGCACATTGATACATATTTAATCTTTTAGGATATAAATTAATATTTTTAAACTTTGAAGGTATAAATTGATATTCGAATAATCTTTCATAGTGCAAATTAAGATTATTTCAAATAAAAAAAACTACAATTTGAACGAATTATTAGGTTTCTTGATGGGCAGAAAACTTCCAGACCGATGTTTTTAGAACCTTCTATTGCCTTATCAAAACCGAGCAAAATATTTTAAAGCCTTCGACCGCTTAAAACTCATAAATCTATCATCCAAACTAATGGTCTAGTGATCAATTGTACCGGTTTAAGTTCCTCTCTGACTCTCGTGTGGTTATGAAGTAGAGTTTGATTCATAGGATTAATGCGATTTGTTGATTGACTTTGGCGCTGTTGCGGTGAAAGGTTGACCTTTCGGGCTCAAGTTAGACATTCTACAGTGGGTAAGCTCAGAGTCACGTGTAGGAGTTATTACCTAATGTTCATCCTTCCTTTTTTTTCCAAGCAAACAACTCGTAGAAATCCTGATAAATTTTTTATATTTGTGCTGAAAAAACCAGTGAGAAGAACGGAGAGTGGGGCAAATAAAGTGGTGGAATGCCTATAATTGGATGTTTACCCAGCACAAATACAAGAGGAAAGAATTGGGTCTTTTTAATGTTAAGGAATAGCCTCTTTTAATGTTAATAGATTTTTTCTGCTTCTAAATTTAGACACAAAGTCAAAGAAACGAGATGCAGTTTTTCAGATACGTGGCACGAAAACTAACATTATACCTCTTCGTAGTCAATCGTTAGACTGCCAGTAATGTTGGTGCATATGGTGGTAACCGATCCAATTGCATCACAGACTGAAGGTCTCCTCAGTACAACGTTATCATCGTTCAACATTCTCTTCATTGAATAAGCAAGAGTAATCTTGACAGCCAACAACAGACCTTCTGGAGCTGAGGTTGCTGCAACCATGGCTGGAGTAGCTACAATTCCCACTAAAGCTTTCAAAACATCAACGATGGGTGCTCCCCTCTTAAGAAGACACAAATCTAATTAAAACTGACAGAAGCTTAGCTATTAACGATTATAAATGGGTTACACAAAAATTAAACAAATTTCAACACGACCAACACGTGTTTAATGACAGCCTTACCTGTAATGAGCACCCTCTTAAGAAGAGTCCGTCAGCAAGAACTTGGTCTCCAGGCTTCAAGACGACTATGTCCCCAACCACAATGCTGGGTAATGATATCCGCAGCCTCTGACTGCTTCTCACAACATCAACCTGAGGGATATGACTTCTAGCTTCAGATAACTTGTGACACAATCTATGTGGCCAAAAGTTACTTACAGCAGAGACCGTCACAATTATAAGAATTGCAACAAGTTTGGATACTCCTCCATACCATCCTTCTATCGGGCCATGTTCTTTAATGTCGAAACAAAGAGAGAGCACAGCACAAACAAGTAGGATAACAATCATGGGATGTTTAAGCGCTTCCAATCCAAAATGGTAGAATTTCTTTGCAGGTTTGTCCTCTCCATAGAAATTGGAACCAAAGACTCTGCATCGGTTGTTAATGTCTGTGCTATTGCCTTGGATCCCGTTCTCTGCATGAGTTTCCAGAGCTGAAACTAACCCTTCAACTCCACCCTGCTCGCTAAGCCACCTCAGGTCTTTCGTCTCCACAAGCTTGGCGATGCTTGATGGGTCGATTGTGGAGAAGAGAGGTGGTTCGATGGTCAATGTCGTAGAATCACAAAGCATGTCCAATTGGGTCCGAGTTGGCCTGTTCGGGGTGCAAACAAAGATTGACGGACAGTTGCTGGACATGGATTTGAGGAGAAAAAAAGAGCAACACAAGGAAGGTAACTAGGTTCTGTGTGGATATTTGTTCCTACAACGTCGGTGGAAAACACATACCACGAATATGCAAGAAGAGAAACACCGCCAAACTTGAATGAACACAGTGAAAAGAAAGGGATACAAGTGGGGTGGAGACTCGAGAGCAACGAGAGTGTTCCTGTTCGGGCGCGTTATATAGAGAGAGAGAGAGGGGATTCTTTATTTCATGGAATAATTTTTTCTTCTCTCCTTTCTCCGAATAAAAATTAAACAAAAAATTGATTTTTTTTCTTGTTTTTATGTTAGAAAAGATAAAAAAGTTAAAGGATAAAAAAATTATAAACTAATATTTTATTATATATATAATTAATATATACATAATATTTAATAAATAAATAAGATATATGCATATATTGAATTAAAAGATATAAAAATAAATAATATATTCTTTAACATACATTCTTATCCTTCCGTTCACTTTACCTCTAAATTTTGATGAGAAAGGTTTTGATGAGTTGAAAATAAGATTTATTCATCTACTTTTATGTCATTCCCCACTAATAGAAATGAGAGATGACGATCCACACATTCCCCACCAATAGAAGTGAGACGGAAGGAGGCTTGGCTTGGGGTGTCACTGTCTTTCGGCTGGGGGAGGAGAATGTCTTTGGGCCTGACTTTGGGGGTGTTTGTTGTTTGTTTCTGTCCATGTCTTTCGGCTGGGGGAGGAGAATGTCTTTGGGCCTGACTTTGGGGGTGTTTGTTGTTTGTTTCTGTCCATGTCTTTCGGCTGGGGGAGGAGAATGTCTTTGGGCCTGACTTTGGGGGTGTTTGTTGTTTGCTTCTGCCACTGTCTTTCGGCTTCTTGTTTGTTTCTGTCACTGTCTTTTGGCTTGGGAGGAGACTTTTTCAACCTCAAGGCGAGAAATTCAGCTAATACCCCCATTAGACTATTCTACTCGGTGGTGAGCTACTAATTTGGTCTAAAATGATGGTCAAACTAGTATCGCTAAATACAATTAGCTCTGTACGTGAATACAATTAGACTACGGTGCGTTGTACGTGAATATATTTAAATAATAATTTTTATAAAATAATTAATTTATATTTGCAATTTATTTGAATAATAAATTGTGTGTCAAATAATTAAATTTTATGTTAATCATTAGTAAACCTAATTATTAATCTACTCTACTCTTATTTGAGTACTTAATTTATCAATTTTTAGGCATCTTTCCCAACTTCTTTAAATATTTTCTCTTTTGTTTATTGTGAAGTTTTATTTTTTACAATTGTTATTCTTGAGTATTTTTATATCTTAATATATTATTATATTTTATTGTTAAAGAAATTGATAAAATTATAAACTATTGTTGTATCATAATATTATGATATTGTTACATATAAAAAAAAATTAAAAGTGACATACATTTGAGAAGTCAAATAAATGAGTTCAAAAGAATTTAAAAGTCAAATACTACTAATAAAAGAATTTAAAATAATTTAAAAGTCTAATAGCTAAAGAAAACATTAAAAAATGGATGAAAACAAATATATGGATATAATTAATTTTATAATAATAATTAATGATAAAATAGAAAATTCAATTTTTTTCACAAATACTAACATTTATTTGCACGTGAACATATTTAAAAAATAATGAAGAGTAATATTATTGAGATCTAATTTATCAACTTAATTAGTTATCATCAAATATTAGAATTTAGTATTAATTCAATAATTATAATGAAATCATGTCATTAAATTAAGTTATTTTTTAAATTTTAATAAATTAAATTTATTTATTGATTATTCATATTAACATGTCTCACTTTATTTATCTGCATGTCTAGAGATACAATCACTTCTAACCCACAAATATTATGTCGATTTCAAATCGCATTTAATTAATATGTCAAAAATTATCACTCTTATCTTTATTTGCACTTCTCGTAATCTCAAACACGCAACACCCATTAGATTAATATGTGGAATGGAAATTGAAACAAATGCACTATGTTAGAAAAAAAAACAAGAGACGTGTTGGAGATGTGGAGTTTTCACAAAAATTTTACTTCGGGGATGTTTTGCGCAATGATTGATTAGTGCTCACATGGAGGTAAAAATTTAATATTTTATTTTGTACTATAGAAAAAATGAAAAGCTACGAGCTCCATCAAATATTGAAATTTGTTCTTAATCTAATTATTCTAATAAAATCACATCATTAGGTCAGATTTTTATGTTTAAATATAACATTACTCATTATATTTATCTATTACATATTATGTACACATTAATTTTATGAGCAATGTTATACAAATTTAAAAATCTGACCGAATGATGTGACTATTATATTTATTATTGATTTAACTGTGAGTCCTAGTATTTATTGGCATTCATTGCCTATTTAATGTTAGTGTTTTATCGATTCAAGTTTTTATATCAATTTTTTAAATCTATTTAACATTTTTCTAATTCATATGTTGATACAATAATAAAATATACATATATACTATTTTTATCCTATCAACAAAAAAAAAATCAATTATTCTTACTTTTCATCCCTCCTAAAAAACACAAGGAGAGAAGAAAGTATTCCTCCCTTGATGAATAAAAAATGTATCACTCCCACCTTTCCTCACTTTTATTTTTTTATCCATCTTACCAAACACACCAAAGATAAAAAGTAAATAAATAAGATACAAAAATATCTACATTCACAGATCCATAAGCTAACTGATTAAAGCATACCCAATCATATATACAATTTATAATATAAAACATGATATACTTCAATAAGTTTATTCGATACTCTTAAATAGACTCATGCAACGGTCATCAACATTACTCTTAAAACTATTTACATTGAATTTTTTCTCCCTCAAATCTATCGCTTCTTATATAAGTTGCATTGTACCTTCAAATATAAATTATCCTTAATATAAATACAAATTAAAAAGAAAAATGTGCATCGTCACATAATATTATTATTTAATAATATATTTATAAATAGGTAAATAGAATCTATAATAATCATTCTTGCATGTAATACAAGAATCTAAACTTGGCGGGCGTTCTAGGGGTGCAATACAAAAAACCCACAAAGGAATCTGAAAAACGAAGAACATGGTTGTTGTAACTGCATTGCTCTTTAAAAACAACTGAGAGTTCGAAAATCTAGTCAAAGATGGCGGGCGTTCTACGGGTGCAATACAAAAACCCCACAAAAGAATCCGAAAAACGAAGAACAAGGTTGTTCTAACTGCAATTGTTCTTTAAAAACAGCTGAGAGTTTGAAAAACACAAAAACCACGTAAAAAAATATAGGGCTTTTTGTACTTTGTAACCCAAAAAATATCTCAATTTTTATTTTATACCTTAAAAGATTATTTTTCTCATATTACACCCTAAATATCATAAATTAGTTTCAATATAACCTTCCAACTAACATCCGTTTTAAATTTCGTTAAAAATAGATGCAACTACCATCCAATGATATAAATAGTGAATTTATATTTTTACCCAAAAACAACACACGTGGGTGACAAAGTGTATCAATTTTTATTGGAATCTGAAATGAATATTAATTCGAAGGCCACATTAAAATTAATTTATGACATTCAGGGTGTAATGTGAGAAAAATAATTTTTTCGGTGCAAAATGGGAATCAACACATCTTTCAAGGTGCAGAGTGCAAAATTTCCTTTAACATAATAGTCTAATAAGAAAATAACTGATAAAATAACTAATCAATGCCTGACCAAAAAAAACTAATCAATGTTAGTGTTCGAGCCAAACAAGCGCGTAAGTGGATAAAGTAAGCAGCAGGAATCTCGAATGGAATGGGAACACAGTTTCTGAGTTGTTTTCACGAAACTACGTTAAGAGTGGGAAGAATATATCATAAAATAAGCAGCAAGAATGGGAGTAGTTTCTGGGTTATTTCCATGAAAGTATCAGGGTTGGAAACAAATAAATGGTTAATTGCATTAAAAATTCTTAAAGTATAAAGTTTATTTCATTTTGATTCTCAATATTTTAATTATATCATTTTAGTTCTTAAAATATTGAATATGTTTCTATGTGGTCTCTCATATTTAGATATTACGTAACAAGTTTATAATAAAAAATTGTTGGCAATCTGTACATTGTTTGTTTGAGGGACCATATAAAAATCTGATGGGACTCTTCTGAAAAGCCTATGATGAAGACACGTGTCTTCGGGGGTTTCTAGAACAATGTTGCTCGGGTTCAAGCACCATCGGCAAATGCGTCCTCTCCCCCGAGGTACCTCTCATATAGGATCACATATTCGGTGCATTATACAACGACACGTGTCCTCGGTCACCATGTACCTCGGAAACACACCACCCCTTGGTCCCCCGAGGTGAGCCTTTCCTCGGTGCCGAGGGTCACTCCATCCTGGACGCTTCCTCTACTCCCGGATAAAGTTACTGACGTACGGGACATCAGCCTATGCCAGTCTAGACTATTCATCATGACCTCGTCTTACACAAGTAATGTCAGAACATGCTGGAATACAGAAGTCATAGCCAATACGTGACGGACGCGTGGCATACGATATCACATCAAAAACAGGCAAACCGCATGCTATTGCTGACATGCGCTTTGGGAAGCAAACAATTAATTGCACCCTTCTGTTGACGAGGCCGCATTCAATGCAGTAAGGTTCGGATATGAAAGGCAATAAATGCTCCTATTACGGAGCATTTATTACATCCTTCCCGAAAGGAGCATATTGTACCGTCGGCGTCCCGACGACTCAACATTGATTGCTCGGGACCCCGAGCAGTCAATTAGAGAAGACATTCCTCGTCAAATCAATACACACGCTACCAGTGCCTGATGATCACCTACTGACCACACTGACAGCAATCATGAGCTTCTGAGGTATAAATACTCCTCCCAAAAGGCAAAGCTGGTATGCAATCACAAACTCACTACTACGAAATATCCTCATCAGT